TAACGAACTGAGCTCAGAATTGTCTTTCGTCAGCAATGGATTATCGTTACTTACAGATATAAATGAAATATTCAGCCTTATTTAGTCTTTTTTTTAAATTTCTGTGTAGTTTTCCTAATAATTTGGGAAAAAATCCTATCACACCCTACATCATTGTTATACCGTTTTTTCGTATTTAGAGAGGTTTCCGAAACTTTAAACAACCGCGTCACACGTTTGGAATAAAAAGACAGGAGGTTGAATTAGGAAAAATTGTATCACTGAATGATATTTACCATAATAATACGGTAAACATTAAAATCTCTAGAGTACAAATTTGTATGATTTTAAGTCTAATGTAATAATCGTATACGAACAATATTTAAAATATCTTACCGAGAACGAGCCGTGTTATGGGGGAGAAATTATTTGATTATATATTATGACGACGGCTCTGCTGTTCACGGGTGTTTATTTTCCTTTTTTTCTATATAATCATCTGTTATTTTTGAAATGCCGCTCGATACCCGGGTATTGTCGGCGAGGCGAGCAATTCTCCCCTAAGTCCCTCGACGCCGACAGGAGGTGAACTGGGGGCGGTCTTTACACAGTTTTTTATAATCCCGGTTTTTCGTCCGAACTAAGGACAAAACGTGTTTTATTTCTAGGAGATAAAATTATATATATTATGTGTATGCACTGTGATCGTTTCTAGGTATACGTGTTTGTTATTTTTGTCCCTATTTTTTTTCTACCCGACTAGCCGACTCCGATCTTTTTGATTTATACAGACAACTGCTATAAGGCATATGTAATAAAACTCGTTTAAGTCTTCGACGGGCACACCCTACGGGTGGGCTGATTTATTATATTATTGCAGAGAAAAGGTATAGGCATCGTTAATATAATTTCGATAAAAACGCAGAGCATGAGGTTTTTGTGAGAACCAACCCTCGATTCCAAGAAAGCGTATCGGGTTTTTTTCTTTTATGTGCATGCCGCTGTCTAGACGTGATTGTAACAATTAAAATTCGGCGCTGTAGTCGTCAGTCTCGCTTTAGTCCGATAATTGAATATCGAAAAAAACAAAAAAATAACAAATAATTGTACATATATTTATGTTGACAACGAACCCAATATCGCACACGTATACGCTTTCAGATTTCTATAAAACGTGTTCTAAATAATACGAATATAATGTAAAAATATGGGCTTAGCACATATTATATTATTTCACTGCATATTATATTATATTAGTATCGTAGTATGAAAGGAAATAACGAAATCAAAGGCAAGGATTATAGGTTATTAGGCAAAGGTGTTTTTTTCTTTTGAACAACTTTTCTACCAGTAATTTAGTTCCGATAAACAACGATAGCAATTTATCTAAAACAATATCTGACTGAAGTGGTACTCTAAGGAGGTAATTTTTTAATTTTATCGGGAGTTTTCCTAATAAATGGGAAAAAACGGAGGAAACACGGGAGAATTTACGAAATGTAGCACCACCCGTTCAAATATTTGACATTTTTTTTTACAAGCAATTAGCATGAATTTGCACGACTATTGTCGAAATTTGCATGACAAAATTTACACCAGAATGATAAAAAATGATGTGCTGGAGAGATGTCTCCCCAGCACCGCTCAACATGAAAAATTTATAATATTAAACAAATTCTTATGCCAATATATAGTACGTGATTAGCATAAATTTGCACCACAGATTCCGAAATTCGCACGTGTCTTGTTCACAAGTAAAATATGTTCAAATTAATGATATCGATATAATTTGACTGTTAACTATAGGATAATATATAAATTCATTGTTCTATGCAAATAATATTAATTCAACATACCGGCTACCGTATTAATAATAGCAATATAAATAGAATATAAAATATCCTAGACTGGAAATCAGTCTCCGCTCAGAATCGTTTTTCGTAAATGATATTATATCCTTGAATTCAAATTTAATAACATCCATTACAGTGACCCTCATATTACCTACTATAAATCAGAGCACTTAAATTTTTTTATAAGTATCTATTTGTTATCATTTAACTATATTTCGTATTTTTTTTCTGATAATTATTTTTCCTTTACATATGTTTTTTTTTATAAATCTGAGATTATAATAGTTTTTTTTAAATATTTTTTATTGTTTTTAATTTAATTTAATTTTTGATTTTTTTCAAGCATATAAAAGAAGAATTTATTTTCTTAGTAGCGAGCTGCATCAAGTTTATACCTTAAAATTAAAGATTTTTGAACCGTAATTTCTGGTCAAAACACTTGAAATCAAAGTTACCTGTTTGATATTTTAATTAGGTAATTTAACTTTACTCAAACGCCGCCATTAAAATCAATTGAAACAAAAATTATTGTCGATCTGTCATAATTGTTAACAAAATGGTTCTGTTATTCGACAACTATGTTTTTACGCTCAAATTACGAGTGTATCACGTCCTCTTAATAACCCTATTTTAATTTCGATTGTACACGAGCGCGTATATGAATGACATTTTTTGTTGACACTCATAATATGAATATCATGCTTTTAAAAATTATGCTTAAATTGTCTGTTTTTTTATTAACTTTAAATAATAAGTATAATATTTATGGTTTTTTATTTTTATTAAAATGTACGTCAACGTAATTTCAATTTCCTACGACGGGTCATTTTCTCCTACAGTATGGTTTTTAGTCGGAGGCTTTTTTCCTCAGTTCATTATAGTATGTATTTTTGTTTTACTTTTTCGAGGCGTCAAACATGATTCAAATATCAAATATCGGTATTTCAATCCGAAAAGTATCAAGAAATTGTATGAAGACAATAATATGAAGGGTGTTATTGTTTTATTCCGACGGCGGGTTTCGATCGGACGCGGCTTAATACAATATTATTACGTTGTCTCGAAACTGAGCATGTGCAAATCAATAAATGGTGGGGTGGTCGTGCTCGCTCGTTAACGATCGCCGCCGCGCTATTGTGTGAGTCGCGTGTGCTGTAGAGAGAAAATATTTCGCAGCTATCGCACGACAGTTTTATGTTCTCCGTCTGTCCAATGGCGTGGCGATAATATTCTATATTATTCGGAGGGTGTACGCCCAGCAGCCACCGCCGCACTACCCGTACGACGCCACCACCATCTACTGTCGGCGTCGCAGGACGACAACAACCGGGCGGTAGGGTACGAACGCCGCATCTACGGAATCTGCCGGCCGTCCGCTCCGCATTCGCTGTCGGGACCCATTACGTCAACGCTTCGTTGTTGCTACAGGACAGTGCCGTCTCCACCACAGTCGTCTCCACAGTGCAGTGTCGTATTCGCACTATTCGTTGCAGCCTTGTTGCAGACTCACCGACCGCTTCACCGTCATTCGAAACGCAGGTCAATAATTGTTTTCCATATTATATTTTTTCGTTATTATGTTAATTATGCCAGCTATGATATTTTTACTAATAATAGGTACTCGTAATTTTACGACTATACCTCCGACCTTCACGGTCTACCCTAGTGACTGCCACCATCGCCAACGCCACCGCCAACGCCGCCATCACCGCTGCCCTCCGTTGTAGTTAGCGAAAAGTCGTCCATTTGTAAGCATTTTCACAACTATTATTATTATTCGTTAAATACATTCAAAATGCGAAAGATTGTGTCTCCACACATTATTTCGCTGTTATTTTACATTCAGAACGTAGAGAGGGATCTATTGGATTAACTATGATGTGTGTATCTGATTTTTTGTATCTATGAACAAATTTTTCACCAGAAATCTTGCTCCGAAGTATTAAATGTAGTAATATTTTTGAAAAGAAATTTTGTGGCGTGAGGTATAACGCGTGGTATGTTTAGGTTAGGTTAGATAAACTGAACGCACCGAACATCACAGAGAACCCTTTGTTAATTTGTATACATTTTTTACATTACTTTTATTAGCGTTCAACAAACTTAAAAGTGAAATATCTTTTAAATGGGTAACGTTTTAACATTTTGGAGCGGAATATTTCTCAAGATTTCTAAAAAAACAAATTTCGAAAAAAAAATTAATCATTTTTGAAATAATTAATGTACGACAAACGAAGCACATATTTCTACACACATTGTTTGTGAATAATTATTCTATTTACAATTCGGTAATTTTTAATCGCACCGACTGACGACGCGATTGTATATAGATAACTACCGCTAATTTATTATTTTCATTTCACTATACTGCTATTATAAAACGGACGACAGTCGACGATTTTAATGACAATACATTTTTTTAAACGATACGTAATTTGTATTGAATATATAATTATTTTTTAGTTTTTAAAACGGAATTTATTAAATTTCGTATTTGTAGATTTATGATATTTTTTTAGAAAATGCAATATTTATATTATTATAGTTTTACTTGCCGAGTGATGTATACTTCATAACTATTTTATTATCTAATTTAAATCGTTTTTGAATTTAACCACAAATAATAATAGCTTATTATTAAATCATATTTACATATTCTTATATTTGTTCTTAAATAAAAATCGTTCTTTCAAATGCATGTAGATTTTTTAATTGTTGGTTAAAAGTGTGTTTCTTTACAATTTGCAGACAATTTTTTGTACTTTTATTATCGAATTATATACATATTATATTATGTTCACAAATGACTCACTCTTCTAATAATTACCCTGGATCCGTGACTATAACATAGTGATTTTAATCGTGACCTACTTAAAATATTATCATAAAGTAATTAGCAACAGGCCAATAACATTATATTTTTTTGTACGTATTGAACTTATAATTATTAAAATTATATTAGTAATTTTAAATTTTGAATTATTAACAATCCTAATCAGATATAAGAAAAATAAGAATTATTTGGTATCAATTAATTGATATTTATTTCTCAATTATAATTTTTCATTATTTCATAATAATATTACACATTTTGTTTAAGTTTACAACAGGTTTTTATATTGCATCGAATAAATATCATAACGCTATAAAAAGTATGGACAAATATAAAAAAAAAAAAAAATCATTTTTATACTATTTTGAGTAAATTTCAAATAAAACAATTTTTTTTTATATATTGAGACTGATAAATATTTTTGTATGCAATTCTATATTATTCTATGTATATATTTGATATTTATTTAAATATATACTACTTGAATGAATTTGAAGGGTGGTCATATTCAAATTTCAATTTCACAAAACGAATTATTTACTCTTCACTTTCTTCACTTGTTTCTCACCTTCTGAACATTCTTGTAGTAAAGACTTGACGCCATCTAAACAATTTTGATTGTGTTTGTTTGAAAAATTACGAATCGACAAAATATATGGGTCAGATGAAACTAAATGCATATTTAGTAAATCTTCATTTGTATTTTTGTTACCTATACCTATCTTTCTTACTTTATCAGGCATTCCATCAAAAGCCAGTGATGTCAATCGGTATTTAATTTCTCAGATATATAAAAACTCAATGTCTCAACAATTAAATTTTTGAAGATACCGCCACTGTGGCATGCCAGTATATCTACTATAATATAGGCAAATATCTATATTTTAGATACTTAAGAGATCGGTACAATATAATTTGCTATGTTTGTAGTATAGCAAAATTATATTATCTTCTAAGAATTTAAATTTTGGTGATTAGATTGATAACAAAATTGTTTGAATCATTTTTCTTAGTTTCCGATGTGAAATTTGTAAACTGAATTAAAACGAAAGATCTAATTAATGTTCAAGTACATTAAAAGTATGGACTTGATTAAAAAACAAGTTATTTAAATATTATATGAACTTAGTAATTTTTCGTTTTTCACATTGTGAACTTTAATTGGATCAATTCATTCCTAAGTCTATTATTTGTTGAATTAGTATTATAGTACCTTTCTTAATACGTAAATACAAGTGAAATAATATTTATATAAATAATAATAAAAACGAGATTGTATATATTTGTTATAAAATTAATTGTATTATTTTTATTTTTTTAGCTAATTAAGAACAAAATATGGCAACAAAAGAGCCAACTCCATTCACACCGGGTACCCTAGTGTGGGCGAAATTCTATGATATATTCTGGCCTGGTAAAGTCGTAGACCCAAGTAGTGCACCACAAAAAACACAGGATATCATGAATCAAAAGAGAAATCCATTAGCTATGGTATTTTTTGTAGAAGACAACAAATAGTAAGTTTAAACTACGATGGCATTTTTGTATTTATAATATTTGTGTTGGTTCTAATTAAAATATGCAGGGTGTTCCACAAAGATATACTTATTGTAAAAATGGAGAAAATAGAGATGATTAAATTCTGGGTTTTTTTTATTACTCACTGGGATAAGCACTATAAATATTATGTTCCAATTCATTTTTATGGACTAGTAAAAAATTTAAAAAATAACTTTTAAAGTTCAGAGAAAAGTACCTATAATAATTATGCAGCAGGCTATAGTCACATTCTCTATTATTATTACGATTAATTGACTGTACACTTCTTTTCTTTGAGCTTTAAAAAAATATTAAAAATAACAAACCTAATGAAAATAAAAGAGTGGTTACATCAACATTTTCAGAAAAATAAACTATACAATGCCTATTTTATAATTTTATTGATCTTCAAAATACATGTTAAACTTAAGTGTTAACACTAAAATGTAGTAGAATTTTTCAATGTTTAATTGCAGAGTTATTATCAAACAATTTTTTAACTAATGATAAACCTTCATTAGTTTTGCCATACAACAAATCTAAAGAGTTATCATTAAATAACAAAAATGTAAAATCCACATAGCAGATTATCTTACCATTAATATTGAGATTTTATAATCCATTTATATACATCAAAAATAATATAGGACCTAATACTGTGCCTTGTGGACTACAAAAAGAGTTTAAATTTCAACACTAAAAAAATTGCCTATATATATTGCTAATATTAATATTCTCATAAATATATTTTGTGACATTAAACAAAGCAAGGTTGGTAGATAATCCCTTCCTGTAGCTAAATTGATTATTACTAAAATAATTATTCATATCTAAACATTTAGTTAATCTTTTTTTATACATTTTTCAAAGATTTTACTAATTGATAAGGTCAAAGTAATATAAAACTGTAAATCTTTTAATTAATTAAAAAAATAATTAAAATATTTAATATTTTCAACCATAAAATATACAAAAATCACAGACAAAAGCCATACATGGATATCACTTCCACGTTTTTAATTTACACAAATAAAATAAGATTAGCAAATATTTGTAATTACAAATACAAAACTACGTGTAAATTGACTTAAGATATTGAATGTTTAAAACAGGTACCTAAATAGTATATCCATATAATTATGAAAAACTATTCAAAGTAATAGAAAAATAATTTTTTTATTAATTGTAAAATATACAAAATATTACTCATAAAAAATCATAAATACATATCACTATATCAAAGTTTTAATTTATATGAAGCAAGTCTCATAATATTTTCACAAATAAACTTCTTAGTAGGAAAATTGAGTTGGAACAAAAAAAACTGAAATATGTAGAACACTTAAATGTTAAACTTCTGAACATCTGATGAAGAAATAATAAATCAGCTTTAATAACATATTAAATATTAACACATTTTTTTTTCCAGAAAATTGTTTATTTTTTTTAATATTTTCAAGCCAAAAAATATTATGAAATCAATTTACATTAATAAGTATTGTAAAAAATATTAATTTGTAATCTATGGTTCAATTAATTGGTTGCCCCAGAATAATTAATTAAACAGCTAACAAAGTATTAAATCAAAGTTAATAAATAAAAAGAACATTTATTTGCAAAAATTAACACTCAAACAAAAAAAATAAATATGTTCATGTTTTAAATTTTTTCTCATTTATAACAATCAATGGTACATAATAAATGACTAAATAAATCACTGTACCTATATTAAGATGTACCTACAATAAAAAACAATATACTTTAAACTTAAAAGTAAAAGTTTTAATTCTTGGCCAGTCAGAATTGTTATTATTTTTTTATGGCCTTCTGTAAAAAAAAAGGTTGGCCACTATTGGTTTAGTTAATACAGTTATTTATTTTTGGTAAATATTTTACTATATTTTACACATTTTACAAATGAGGTCTGATAAATCTCCATGGAACTATGAACCTTATTAAAAGTTTATTGTTCAGAATGACCTTAAAGTTTTTAAAAATTATCAATTATTTACTAAACAATGTAATAGAATATCATTATTTTAATTACTACAAACTGTATAATGTTGAAATAATGTAGTTAAAAACAAATTTTTAAACACTATACCAAATCCATGTTTTGTATTAAGATCATCCAATTGTTGAAATTTCTTTGTAATATTTATATGAGTAATTTGTTTTATTGTGTTAATAGTGATATTGTTATGAGCATTAACAAGGTGTTCCTGTATTCCTGTCCAAAAAAAATGGAGTATGTTAAAAAGGGATACTGTAAGTATTATTATTTTAATGAAGTACTCATATTACAATAAATTTAAATCAATTGAATTTGTTACAGCTTTGTATTTGAGAGAACTAAATGGAATAAAAACAAAAAACGTTGAAATGAAAAATTTTTTAAAAGATGTACTAAGGTTTGAAGAAGAAATAGGAGGAAACATTAATATTTTTAAAGAGTTTGAAAAGGAGAGAGATGAAGAAAAAACACCAAAACGTCAACAACTCATAAAAAAACTGTTCTCTTCATCAAGTGGACACAAAAAAGAGAAAAGTAAAAAAAAGAAAATTAAACAACAATTAAATATATCAATACTATCTCCAACAACAAGCAATACAACACAAAGAAACATGACTGAAGAACCTAATATACAAGATGAACTATTGAAAGATGAGGATAATAAAAAAGATAAAAATGATGAGGATAATGAAAAAGATAAAAATGATGATGATCATATGAATGAGGATAATAAAAAAGACAAAAATGATGTCCATATGAATGAGGATAATGAAAAAGACAAAAATGATGTCCATATGAATGAGGATAATGAAAAAGATAAAAATGATGATGATCATATGAATGAGGATAATGAAAAAGATAAAAATGATGATGATCATTTGAATGAGGATAATGAAAAAAATGAAAATGATGATAAAATGATGATGATCATTTGAATGAGGATAATGAAAAAAATGAAAATGATGATGATCATATGAATATGATGATCATTTGAATGAGGATAATGAAAAAAATGAAAATGATGATGATCATATGAATCTGGATAATGAAAAAGATGAAAGTGATGATGATTATATGAATCTGGATAATGAAAAAGATGAAAGTGATGATGATTATATGAAAATTTATGAAGAACCTGAGAGTTCAACTGAGTTTAATAGATATTTTAAAATAAGATCGGTTGAGGAAATGCAAGCTAGAAGACAATTTATAAACGATATCTTAAGTAATAAAAAGATTACTCACTTTTATCTAGATGATTAAATTCATCCAATGGGTAAGAATGAATACAATTAAGAAAACTTTTTCCTGGGCCAATTGCCATCTCCTAAATGGCTTTATAAGAAGCTTCCTCAAGATCATAAAGAATATATGAAATATATGGAATGTATAGAAATATGTAATAAACCTTATAACAAAGCTATATATATATATATATATGATTGGACCTATATTATTAAAATATTTACTCCTTATTTTCTTATTTCGTGATCATAGTGTCATCAAATAGATTTTTTCTTATATTTATAGTGTTGAATATTATTTTTATTTTATTTAATTTAACTCAGTATAATATTTTTAGTGCACACACAACTATAGTGTAATGAGAAAGTAGAGTAGTACGTATGAATACTTTAATAGTATAGTTTTTTTCACTGCAAATGGCGGGATGTTAAAACGTCACTACCACACTGGTTTGATATGAGTTGCACCTCACTATTAGATTCTGAGCAAAGCTATGAATATATTGGTTTTAAAATGATATTTTTCTCTTTTTTTTTTTGATTTTTGTGAGTAACATTCTATCAGCAATTTTTCTCTTTATTAAAATGATAACACTATTTCAAAAAGGAAATCTGGTAGAATAGGTACTTAAGGGGGATCATTTTTTAATTTTACCTAAGTTTTTTCTAATAAATTGAAAAACCAGGACAATAGGTACAATATTAAACAAAGAAAATAAAGAAAATATATAATGCATGTGTAATTATTTGACCATATTATGACATAAAAATGAGTGATATCCTAAAAAATTCCTACATCAAGTTTGAAAAGCTGTAATATCAAAAGGGACTAAGTAATTTCTTAAATTCATTAGTATAGAAATGGTTTATAATTTATAAAATAATAAAGTAAAAACAAAATTATTAAAATGGTTTATACTTGTAAATAAATATAGTAAATTATAGAAATAAAAACTATAAACTATAAACTTAAAATTAACTGTCTTAAATTTCATATAAGTGAGAAAAATAGAAATTTAAAAATAAGATTCAAAGAACACATTTCTGAAATAAAATTAAAAAGACTGCTCTTCATTCAAATTTTGCTAAACATGTTTTAGAAAATAACTATACTATAAAATTTAATATTAATGTAGGCATTAAATACCCACAGTAAAATTTACATTATTTAGTTTTAGAAGAAATATATATACAATGAAATAAAGAAAAATAATTTTAATAATCTTTAAATTAATGTACAAACGGATTTTAAAAATAATCTTTTATCAATACATTTTAGATAATAAATTATAACCAAATAATTTATATTTCTTAACATATCTATGTCTAATAATAACCCATTTTAAATAATCTCTCCTATTAAAATAAATTATTTCTTTGTAAAATGAATAATTTGTTTAATTTTTTTCTATGTATTATTCCTTTATATAATTTTTATATTCAGTTGCATTTTACATTTTGACTGTGATATACCTGATGGTGAATTTTTAATTCCAAAAATGTGCTATAAATGTATAATACACTAACTATAATACTCTAGGGCATTCATTCATTTTATATATAAATTACTTTATTTAAATATTTTTTTACTATATTTGTTTATATGTTTATCCAATGAAGTGCATGAAGTGAATTTAATACAAATAATTCAACTTAGGTTGGGTGGTTAATCATAATATGTACTTAAATAGTGTTATGGTAATATTTATAAATTTTAAAATGGGGATGTAAATATTCATGTTGGTATTGTACCTTTATTTGTAATCGTTAATATTAGTAGCCACCAAGCTAAATTAAATTATTTCTATTAAATCATCACACTTCATCAAATATAAACAATTTCTATATAAATGAATTTAAACAATCACTTGGCCCCTTTTTAATAACACAACTCTTCTAACTTGAATTTTTTTTTCTTGGCAAGGTTTTGATGGTAGGTGTTTTAGGGTACATTACTACTATTAACCAAAATCCACTCAAAATCATTTTTTGTTAGCAATGGTTAATCATACAAATATATATTAAATTTCAATTTACTACCTTCTAAACTTTTAACCTACAACAGTAGGTGCTTCCTTCGCAATAATCCTGAGACACATTTTTTTATTTTTTTTTTGTTTTAAATTTAAAATGACAATTAATTTATAAAACTCACAATAACATAATTGTGATAATATTTTTATTTGAACATTAATCTGTAGTCAATTTAAAATAGTGCCACATTGTAATATCTCCATGGACAATTTGAAAATAACGATTTTGTTGAGTTTATTTTTCTGAACATGTTGACACCAACTTCTTGTTTTCATTGAATTTGTCAAAGTTCTGAAAAAATAACGGTGCCGCCAATTAATTATTTTAATAATAATTAATTAAGGAATGCGATTACATCCTGCTGCATATCGATGGTGTCACGGCATCACTATTGGGTCGAGAAATACATGTTTCTTCTATTACGAGTGCGCATAAACATTTTAATTATTATTAATCATTGAACGAATAATATGAATATCGAGTTTGGGGTATGAACAACACTTTTTTTTCTATCCACTCAATTCTAACGTCCGAACGATAATAATAGGGAATATACGGTATTAATACAATTATTTGAGGGATATCGAGTTTATGAGGTGATTGTACTTAATGATAAAACGAAGTATTATTATTTTTCAAAAATAGTTAAAATCACGAGTTAATGTTTTTTTGACTCTTCTGAAAACTATGATCTTGAAAAATGATTTAACATCACAAACTGAATGAAAATTAAAACTTGACACTTCGAAAGTTTCTTTTAAAACCTATGAAATGTCCATTTTCAATTTTGTTTTAAAATAATGAAATAAAGGTTTTTTTTTTACATGTTTCTCGAAAATATAATAAACTAATTACAAAATAAACATTCAGAGTTGTTATCCTGGTGAGTAATATAAACGCGATGACAGGGTTTGATTACTTTTATTGTCTCCGAGTATATTACAACGAGTATGTCTTTGTGGGATACTACACATGTATACATTGAATGCAATACTGTCAAAATATAAAGTGTAGAATAGTGCTCGAAACTAATACACATTGTTATTGACCCGCGGCGTTTTAACAGTTTTGACTGGACTAACTGCACTGGTGTGTTTACCCGTAAATAACGAAGACACGGACGTGGGTGTTCTTTAATATCTGTGAATTTACTAACAGTTATTTTGGGTGGTAATTTATCAAAATAACCTTATCATTATGTGATGGAAAAAAATGGATTTGTCGAATCCGTATCTATAACAGATAACGGTTTATCTGGTAACGTAATGCTACATTCGGTGGGTTTATAATTGTTTTGCCGTTGGATTTTATTCAATGGATCGATAATTGGTCCTTTCTGGAGTTTTCAGAACTTTTGCCCGAACAGTGTCATCTGCCCGCTTTAGTGCCGAATAATTTGCGTTTTATATTTTCTTTAGCCGCGATCAGCTCATCTGATAAACCGGCTCCGTGCGTGATTATACAATACCGCTGTCGCGTTCGCTATCTTTACTAATCGCGACAAACTCGAATTTCCCTTTATTCCGACAAGCCATACAAAAGTGCTTAAATTCGACATACGACTTATCGCTAGAGCAATGATCGCAATATACGTGCTTTAAATTAATCTCGTCATGTTTAAATAAAATAATTAAATTACAGTCGTCTCTAATTAATTGTTTAGGTATACGGGAAAATGATTGCACCACGTCTATTTGGTTTTGTCGACCTCGAGAATAATATGAACGTACTATTTAAGTTTACGATACAAGTTAATCACTATCACCTGTTGTCTACTATCTACGGTTGGTATACTTATTACGATTGTTAAAATAGCTTGACATCATTTTCATTAAAATTAAAAAAAAAGACATCCTAGGATAATGGGGACGAGCGCAGCTACTTTTAAGCCCGCCCCCTCCCCCTCAAACACGGTCAATCTTAAATGACAATTAACGTGATTGAAAGTCAAGATTGACCGTGTATGTAGAGAACTTTATAGGTGATTTAATGTATACCTGTAAGCAACGATAAACCATTGCTAACGAAAAAACAATTCTAAGTACAGGTCAGTTGATAGTGATGGTTTGTCAACAATATATATATATGTCATATTATGGTAAAATAATTAAATAGGCATTATCTTTAAAAATATTTGTTTAATATTGTACCGAATTTCCCTTTTTTTTCATATTTTTTGGGAAAATCGAAAAATTATTTATCTAAAGTACCTTCCCAGTCAGAATTCCTCTTAGAAAAACTAATAACTACATTTCGTACATTTTGAAAACTGCTTGAAAAATCAAAAAAGCCTACAGAAAAAGGCTACAATATTTTTTTACTAATTCCTACATTTTCTATTTTTTGACATTTTATACCGGTTTTTCCCAGATATTATGAAAACTAGTTCAAAAAAAATTACCTCCCTAAATTACTATGGAGATAAAATTTCGTTTTAGGAAATAAGCTACACTTGATCCAAGTTTTCACAACAAATCGAGGGGTATTTTGCGATTAAAATAATCTGAGCTAGCAATGGCTTGGATCTCTAGGTACACCCCGAACGCATCTGTTTTTTACTAGTTTAGGTAAAAGGGGGAAAAAATGAAAAGAATTTTGTTCGAAAACCTAGTTTTGAACTCGTGACCCCTAGGATGACGAGAGGTATGTATGACCATTAGATCACGACAAATCTTTTTTAAATAGGACAATATAGAGTTATTTAACATAACATATAATATCCAAAAAATATCAGAACTTCAATAAGCTATAATTTCTAAACTTAGTCTACTCAATTCTGATTTCGCCATCGTTTTTAAATCGGTAAGTATATATGAATAATACTATGTTAATTGATGTTACCAAAAATTTCGTCTCATTAGTGAAGATAATATATACAATTTTATGTGCGTATCCCACATATTTATTCCTTCAAAGAATAAGGACTCATTAGCTGTATTATATTCCCGCAATTTTGAAACATAATGTGACAAAAATTGTTTGACTATAAATTGCATTTTAGATTCTGAGTGTAGCAAAGATTTTGGTTTTACAAAGATGTTTTTTTGTTTTTTGTTTTTCTGAGAACAATTTTTCTTCCGGCAGCAATTTTTCTCAGATTTTTAATAAAAAAACTTTTTCTTAAGGGAAATCTGACTTTTTTGTTTAAAGAAAATACATAATTCCTATGCAATTATATTACCATAATATGCCATAATATTATATTAAATTGTTAGCGAATCATCACTATCAACTGAATTCCACTCAGAATGGTTTGTTTTTATTATTTCATTGTATGTATTAAATATTTTTATATTTGAACACATTATTATATAATTATATTTATGATATAATTTATATTATATCATATAAAAGGAAAAATCACTTCTCAATGTCATATCAACATCAATACACATAATAAATACTTTATTTTTATTGTAATGTTGTAACATATCACAACATATTAGTTACAATAAATAAAATTGTTTATCTAATTCTACTAAATCGACAAAAATTGTAAAAAATACAATATTAAAAGTAAATAGTTTAAGTTTTTATTAACAAAAAAAATAACAGAGACAGTTTAAAATAATTAATGAAAAAGCTATACTTAAATGTAGGAAATTATATTTAAGGTAAATAAACAAATATGTTGATGTTTTATATTTATTTAGTTTGGTTTACAATTTTCTATTAATACAATCAACTATTCGCACCAACCCGAGTACAGGTTCCCCAAGGGATTCAGCTATTTTGGCTAAAACTTTGGGATTAAAGTAACCCAATTATATAACATCATGCAAAAATAAAACAAAAATTGTAAAAAATACAATATTAAAAGTAAAAAGTTTAAGTTCTTATTAACAAAAAAAAAAAAAATAGCAGAGACAGCTTGAAATAATTAATGAAAAAGCTATACTTAAATGTAGGAAATTATATTTAAGGTAAATAAACAAATATGTTGATGTTTTATATTTATTTAGTTGCAAGTTTATCATTCTTTAGTTTCCTTTACAATTTTCAATTTTCTATTAACACAACCAACTATTCGCACCAACCCGGGTACAGGTTCCCCAAGGGATTCAGCAATTTTGGCTAAAAGTTCGGGATTAAAATAACCCAATTGTATAATTTCTTTCGATTCCTCCTCCTCATCATCATCATCATCATCATCATCATCATCATCATCGTCATCATTATCAGAAGGCGGTCTGTTTTCCATGAGTTCACAACATATGTGAATAGGATTATCTCGAATAAATCCTTGAATATATTCTTCAAAATTTCGA